GAAGGCAGGGAAGGGAGGAATGTTTTATTTTTTCCTTTAGGCCGTCAATCAAACTCAAGGGTGTGGCATGCTGATTTCGTTTTCTGCTTGATTTACGAGGGGGGTGGGGAAAATGCATTGCATGCATATCAGTGAACAGAAAAAGAAAAGGGAAAAATATATTTATTTAACATCGACTAATAAAAATAAAATCTTTTTCTTTTGAATAAATTCTTATTCTTTGGAAGTGCGGTATCAATTACAAGTTGTTCTTGGTGCGGAATCACATCTGCTGTAATTAAAAATCTTGTTTTTATCAACAAAAAAATAAAATAAAAGGAGAATTGTTTATTATTTTAAACATAGGAGTATTTTATGAAGCAGATTGCAGCTTTGTTTTTCTGATTCCACTACGTTTGATTTTTAATAAATTAATTCTTTTTATTCATAAATTTTATCATTAGATTTTTTTTTTTTTTTTGAATTTCGTTGATCTTGCCTCGTTTTGGGTTTTAATATTTATGCTAGTGCCTTTTTTAACTATCGCCTCGGTTCGATAATTTTCAAGTGTTTTCATTTAGATTAATAAGTTTTCCTTTTATTTTATCGTTTCCCCCGTATAATTAGGTATGAAATATATTGCGTTATTTAATCATTGGTTTTGTTTATATTATTTAATTTAGGAATTGTAATTATTTTTAAAAAATAAATATGAGAATTTTGTATTTTTTAAACTTGATTTTCTTGTCTAAACTTGCACATTTTTTTGTTCTTTTAAATGTTATATTTCTACCATTTTTTTTTCTTTTTAAAGTTAGGAGTACCTTTCTTTTTTCTCTTACTTTATGCATTACACTTTTTCCTTGTGCTTCGGGTTCGATAAAACATCGATTAACGACACTTTTTGGTCGATCCAGAAAACCGGGAAATTCAGATATCCGGGATAGCGATGGTCCCGAGCATCCCGGATAATTGGTTCTCTACTGTATTAAAAAAAATAATCAGTTATACTTTTAATGATTAATCTATTAAATAGGCTACACTATATGGTCAAAAAAAACTAAATACTTAAGGATTTTGACACATTTTCTTTAAAGTATTAAACAATGTTATGAAAGTTTAGGTTTATGTAATTTAGATATGAGAGGGATCGGGGAATCAGCAGAAAATATGAAACCAAAGTTTCTGATTTTTAAAACTTAAACAAAACAATTCCCATACCCATATTTTATTACTCATGAGTCTGATAGAATTTTCTACGTTCACGCAAAAGTTTAACATTTTGGAAAAAAATTTTCGCTTCAAATTTTGTGATTTGTTTTAATGCTTAAAATGTTAAGACAATAAATAAATGATGTTAGTAATTCTCAAAATATCTGTCTTTTTTTTTCTTCCTTTTTTTGTATAAAAGACAGTCGGACTTCTATTTAACGAACTTCCATTTTGCGAATTTCTTTATTTTGCAATATTTTTCGAGGAACCAAGAACATTTTGAAAATTTTTCATAAAATAACTTCAAAGTAATATAACTCAACTAAAATAACTTTTCGACTTTCGTAAAAAACTAATGAACTTTTCTTTGAGATCCACTTCCCCATTTCTTGAAATATTTCAAATTTATTAACGCATTTTATGGGGGAAATGAACTTGAACTGAAACCACTGAATGAACTTGAACCACTTAATTTTCAGAGAAAGCAGTATAATCCTTTCCCCCTTTTAGTCTGCATTTCAAACGAAAAACTCAGACTAAATTAAATGGATTTCATTAGTAGCAATTAAATTTAAGAATGCACGAAGTAATGAATGTTTAAAATTGGTTTTATAATAAATGCAGATATAATTTTACACATAAATTTAGTTTTCTCAGTTGAAAATGTATGTAGCATGATAGTGTAACATTGGATAATGTCTTGCTCTATTCTTGCTTTCTATGCAGATTTCTTTTATGGTTAAGATTTATAAAGTAAATTGCAGATACTAGCTTGCAAGATAAAGCTGCATCAGTTGCTATTTTAATTATGTCTATAATTTAAGAATTTAAAACCTGTTTTGTGTTGTTTAAGTATTTCAAAAAGTGATTTTCTATTTCATGAATTTTCCATACAACGAACTTATTTTTCCGATTTAGTGACTTCGTAAAATAGAGGTCCGACAGTATTGCTATTTTTTACAAAAGTTAAGAATAACAAATAATGCAAAATTAAAATTGCAACAAACATGAATAAGGAAGCAATTAATAGTAATTTAACAAAATAATTTATTTTCTTAAAAAAAAAAAAAAGAGGACTTAACAGAAAATGAAAATATACCTCGATTCACCAGCTACAACTACAACATGAGGTTTTTTCTTAAGAATCAGTTTTCTTAGCACATGCAAGTCTGCCTCCTAAAAAAAAAAAGTTAGCAATAAAAGCAAAGAAAAATAAAGGAATCTGAATATTATACATACATGTATATATTCATGTACATACATGTATACATGTACAGTGAATTCGCGATAACTCGAATCTGATAGGACTGACGAAAAACTTCGACATATCGGAAGTTCGACTTACCGTTAGTTTCGGTTTTGGACTTTCAAAATATTGTCGGATTATTTAATTAATGCTTATTAATCATTTTTCTGACAAGCCATTTACGATAAGACTGTTTGAAGCACTTTATGATACCCTGGTCCATCGGCTGCAACTTTGCTGTTGTGTTTGGCGGGAGAAACTGCAAGTTTACTGCTTTCAAATTAGGTTGATCACTATGTGCTGTGCATTTATCCATAAAGAGTATCACTTTTCTTTTTTTAGTGAATAATTTCCGATCCAATTTTCTTACATAGTTTTCAAATAAAACTGATGTCATCCAAAACTTTTTGTTAAACTTGTAATCCAAAGGATACGTTTTTACATTCTTAAAATTCGGGGATTTCGCTTTTTTTCCGATAACAAGTAAGGGCAATTTCTCTGTCCCAGACGCATTTCCTCCAACTAGGACAGTCAAACGTTCCTTGCTCATTTTACCCCCTGAGCAGTTTTCATCCTTAAACATCACAGTCTTATTTGGAAGACATTTAAAAAATAAACCCATTTCATCAATATTGAAAACATCATTTTAACTGTATCCTTCAAGTAAATTTGGTAACGTTTCACTTAACCGCTGTTCACATACTTCAAGAGGGAAAGCTTTATCTTCTCCATGAAGAGTGCGAAAGACATTGTGTGTGTGTTGCAAAGGAAGGGGCAAGATATCAGCTCCTAGGTTTTTTTTCTTGCTTTAAAAGATCCAAAAAAAAATCGAGTTAAAGGAAGTAAAATTCGTGTAATCGAGAATAATTAACATGAAATTGAAGATAAAAGGGTCGGGACCTCATAAAAAAATCGAGTTATAGTAATATTCGAGTTATCGTACTTCGAATTATAGCGAATTGACTGTATATGTTAGAATATTATACATACATGTATATACACATACACACATGCACATATCCATACTTACAGAGAGCAATTTCGTTGACTAGCAAAGTAGTATATTGCTAGTTAAAAAACAGATGCTAGTTAGAAAAAAACGCAGATTCAAAAATTGCTAGTAACTTCTTATGGCCAGGATTTCGATAAATTTTTCATCCCTTTCCAAGTGGTTTTCCAAATTCTGTTATTTTTAATACAATATTATTACAACAAGTGAATTTCAAATTAGAGTTATCTCTACTTGACACGCTTGATTAACAACAATTTCATTGTTTCCAATGACATTTTTAGATTGTTTCATTGGCAGCTACTTATCACATTCTGGGCTATTTACATAATGATTTTAAAAACTCCAATTTTTAATAATGATGTTATTATGACACACGAATTCCGATTTCATCACTTTTTGATCGGATCAGTTCGTGACTGTTATGCTGTGTATCCAAGTCGTATTCTGATCGTCTTTTTGAAAGTTATTTATCATATTTTGACCATTTCCACATGGTCTTTCAAGCTTTGATATTTACAATACAATGTTATAGTGATACATAAAGTTCTAATTTGAGTAATACATTTGATTAACGATTATTCCATCTTTTATCAGATCTGACTATGAGTGGGGATTTTGCTACAAATTTGGAAGTGATTAGATAAATTGAATTTTAAAAATTAGATTTTTCGGCAATCTAAACTCATGACTTACCCTGGTTTTCTTTTTAAAAAAATTAGCTATAATCATGACAAATTTTGTTCAAAATGCAAAACCCATGACTTTCCAGTTGTGCGCAGATACCCTGTATTTATTAAAAATGACACCAGCATTGTAGGGATTTATCCCCAATTAAATATTGTTTATTTTACATGATTTACTTCCTAATACTTTCACACTTCGTTGTCTGGACCCACATTGGAAAGGTATTATCATTGTGTGAGGAGCACTCAAAAAAATTGCAACGAAAATAGAACACATTAAGTAAAAAATATATACCAAATAAAACAAATCGAGGAAAAAACAGAAAATTAAATGTAAAGAAATTACTGAACAGTACACAAAAGGAAATCTATATAGTGAGGAGTGAATTAAAATAAACTTATGCATACTGGAAATTTTCAAGAATGATTTAAAATATTTTCGTAATCAGATTGCCAGATTACAAAATATGAAAATAGAAGCATAAATAAAGTGATATCTTATGGCACGTGATATCTTTATTTCATACTTAAATTTGTATTCTATGAAGATTTTAAACTTTAAATTTTTAGCAATAATAAGATATTTTAAAAATAAAAACAAAAAATATTCACTCATTGTGTGTATCTTACAAACAAGGATACTGTTTCTAATTAGACTGTGCTTTTGGTAAAAAAAAAGGAAATCAGAAAATTGAACCCATATTTGGTAAAAACTAATGGAATCACTGGGAGGTTCACATTGCACAATTTTACTAGCAATTTCAAATAAATAATAGCACACCTTCTTTATACGATCATCTTCTCTGCGGGAATTTCTCCTGTTCAATAAATATTTAAGGCGCAGAAATTCCATAACTTCTCCGTCTCCATCAACCATCGCACAGAAAGCTGGTACATTGCTATAAGTATATATTTAGACATTTAAGGCAAAAGAAAATTTCTCAGAAAAAAATTATTTTTTTGAACACCTAAACAAACAATGTACAATCTAAATACAATATACAAACAATGTACAATCTAAATAAAAATAAATACAACACTAGATTTAAAATTTTAGACTAAAAAGTTCCCATCATTACAAGTGATAGAAATAATTTCTAAAAACTAGGTAATGATATTTCTATCACTTAATTCATTGTTGCAATAATTTAAAGAATATATAATTGCTATTTAAAAAAAATATTATTGTTATATCTTTTTATGCAATCTTTTAAAAAAAAAATAGAGAGAGAGAAACTTACTTTGCATTTCCTTGATAAGCAATGGAAAGCACTCTCACTCCTTCTCTGGTGTCAAAATCATCTTCATCCTCTACCTGGGGATCTACTTGGTAAGGAGCAACTTTCAACCAGTTGTATAACTTTCGACAGCAAGCCTAAGACAAAAACTTATGTAGCTGGCAATTTTGAAGTAAAATTTACCAAAAATAATTTTCTTTTAATATTCTCCAAACTAATGCAGTCTTTTTCCGAGCTATAAGCTGCAGTCTTTACTGCATAAAAAAAAAACTAGCTATGAAAAAGTGATGTGCAATACAGATGCTCAATGTTTGAGGGGTTGACCTCCATTTTAAAATTTCTCTCTGGGATTGTATTAGAACATGAAATGCTTATAACGAGTGCATGTCTAGTAGAACTTAAAGACTTATCAGGGTTGCCACTCAAATCTCGAAAAAAAAATTCCTTGTGTGTTCCCTGTACATATTATACACAATATATTAAGAGGAAAAATACAATCACTATGCTCTTGTACGAGCTGTTATTATGCTATCTACACTAGTTATAATTGCCGAAAAAACTTAGAGAAAAAAGGAACTGCTGAGCATACTTAATACAAATAATGCTATAGTAAATGAACTAGTTTAATATAGCTGAAAGATCATCTTTAAATATCCCAGATTGCACTTTGAGTGGTTACCATTTTTTTTTAAAAGATGAAAATAAGAAACAAAATTCCCTGTAATTTCTTAGTTTCCCTGCATTTTCCTTGTTATTTTAGGTGATTTTTAAACTCCCTGTATTTTCCTGTTCTCCCTGTACAGCGGCAACCCTGCTTATTATACATATAGTTCATTAAGTACTTTTAAGGTATTTAACTCCAATTCAGATAATAATGCAAAAGTGTTTTGTCATATCCTATGTATGATAAGAAAATACGCGAATGATTTATTTAAAGAATGGATTACACATTGGGAGAATTAAGAATAGAAGCTTAACTTATAATAAGAAAGGGTGACTTTCTATGAGCAACAAATTACCCAAAATTAGTTTAGGCCCTGCTTACAGTAGATTTGCTGTATTAAATTATGTTGAATATAGTTATTGTAAATAAGTCCAATGAAATTAAGGTCCAGTGTTAACGACTCTAAAAGATCAGCATGATGGAAAAAGATTTGACAAAAAGCGGAGAAAATTTTGCTTCTTTTTTTCCCCCTCATACTCTGTCTTACGTAATTCGTTCATCTGAAGCTTGGGGGTTATCCGCTTTTTATTACAGTAGCAGATTTCTATCGCTTTTTAAACAAACCTTTATTGTAATTTTTATTAGAATATATTTCTCCTAAAAAATTATTCTGCAGAAGAAAAAAAATTTCTTTTTCTTTCTTAAAAAAATTATAAAATTTTAAAAAAAGGAAAAATGCAAAATGTGTTTGAAAAAGCAGAGTTTCTGTTCTGTCAAAATGCGACTCTTTCGACAAAATCAGAACAGATATGTGCAGAACATTACATATTTCTTGCTGAAATTAAAAGTTTGTGATAGAAGCCATCATATTTCAGAAAAAGTATTAAATTGAAACTTCAAAAATATTATTATGGATTAAAAAAAATTATGATTAAACATTTTACAGTTCCATACCTTGATAACACCCTCTTTAGCTTCATTTAATAAACGCAGCCTGAGTTCTTTTTCAAAGGAGGGATACAGCATTTTTGTTAAAGCAAGATCCAATGCTTGATGTCTTTGAACATTCCAGTCCAGAACATTTTTACTGTATTCATCCTATAATAAATTGAATTGCAATATTTCTAACAAGATTACAAGAAAAACTGATTTTCTAAGATAAAACAACTAGACTAAAACGTACAAGACAAAACATTTCTTTGAAACAGTGAATTGTGGACTTTAGAAATTCTTTGATTATTAAATTGTTAATACGGATCCATCATTTTTTTAATTTTCATTAATCATACATAAAAAATTAAAAAAAAGATAAACCATTGACAAGGGATTTATGAATCCGTAAAATAACAATCTAAACGAAAATGTACAAATTATTTTACAAAAAGCCTAAAAACGATTTCTTTTCATGAGTTATGTTATGAAAAATGTGCTTCATTGGAAAGTTAGTTTAATCATCTCATGTTAGAATTGAATATTTTAATTCATATAAATATTATTACAAATTGCACTTTTAATTTTAATAGTGATAATAGTAGCAAATAAATAAAAAAAAAAGAACATGAGTATGAATACCCATAAAAACTAAATTGAAACATCACAATCTAAAATGCAGCCAGCCTCTTTCCTTTTGGTTATTTCTTTTGTATCATTGAAACAATCTTATGCTTTATAAATTTAAATTATCACAATAACTTTTTATTAAATAAAAAGCTTCCACACTATTTGATGTATGAGTTGTATATAGCATAAGTTAAACAATTTAAATATATATCATTTTAATGAGACTTACTCGCTCATATAGCTGCTTAATTTCCTCTAAATAAACATGCCGACTATCTTTGCCTCCTTGGTGTTGCATAGCTATGGTAATTTTAACCTCTTCACTTCTTTCAGCCTATAAATTTTTGAAACATTACTGTCATGTTCAAAATTTATCTAAGCAATTAGACAATTTATATAGAAAAACACAAAACACATGATATGTAGAAAAACACAGTATATTGAAATTTTGAATTGTACAAACATTTATAAAAAAGCGGTGGGATGCCTTCAGTAAACTCGGAATAATTTATTTATTTTTTTGCAGTTTTTCGTAAGGTAACAAGAGAAGAGGTAGTTTTAAGTAGACATACTAAAAAAAAGCAGTCTAAAAGACCAACTTTTAAAAAAAAAATTAAAAAAATTTCACTAGGAAAACCTATTTATTTATTTAATAGGTCAAATATTAAACTTTATATTAAACATTAAACAAAATATTCCTAATTTAAGATATGGAAGAATGCTGAAGAAGTGGAGATATGCAATACTGCAATTCAAAATTTTACTCGCTACTTATCACTATATTACCATATGAACAGATAGCTATTAAAGATGCTTTCAAAAATCAATATTAAACAAATTTAAATTTCAAAATAATAATAAAAAAAAAAACATACATTTATCGATTGTAATATGCATAGCTACCAATATGGATAGGGAAAAAAAATCCAGTAGATTTTACGAAGTAACATAAATTTTATGATAATTGCTGTATAATGTACTAAATATTCTAGGGAATTCAAGGGATTTTTGTAATCACTAAAATAGAAATACTGCAATATTTTCCAGTTATGATTGACATCAAACATAAATGTTATGTATTATATTTACTAATAATTTTGAATATTAATAGTTACTTAATTCATCAAAGATAGTTAAAAGATTTTTTTAGTTAATTTAAATAGAGAGTTCTGAATAAAAATAAACTGAACATTTTAGAACAAAAAATGTAATGAATTAATTTCTTTCTATAAATGAGGTTCGCTTCATTATGTATTAGTAATACTTATTTAAATATTCTAGCAAGCAAGCAATAATCCGTTCAAAAATTCTATTTCAATAGGGATTTTTTGGGGGTATTTACTCAATTTTAGGGAATTTTAATTAAACCAGTAGATCTGGAGAAATTGGCAAAATTCAGTAGAGTTGATGACAGCTATGCATATGAAACCCATTTAAGCTCTTCACAAATGTTGCGACAAATGGTTTCGTTTCTGTTTTGATTGCTATCATTCTGCACTTCTCCAATTTCTGCAACCATCTCTTGAACCAACACCAGCTGCTTCAAAATTTTCATCAACTGTTGCATAACCATCAAAAGTGATGTTTTGAAAGTTTTTCCTTCATTTTCTTCTTCATCATTAGTATCGGGAATTACCGTGCGCTTCTCAATTGGAAATACCTTCAATGTTTTTTTTTTAACATTGGTGGAATTTCTTAGATACAATTCTATGATAGATAACCCACAATAGAAGGAGAGTTTGTTGATTTCAAAAACAATCTAAATGGGTATTATTAACATTACAAGAACAGTATTTGCGAGAGAACCATTAAAACAAAAAAATACATACAAGAAATGATGCAAAAATATGGATCGAGTTTCAGCAATTGGATACTACATTGGTAATTCTTCATATCAAATGAAGAAAGAGGAGAAAATATGTCTTGATTCATTCCACAAAAAAAAGTTAAACTTTTCTGCTTACTTTTTCATTTTTGTTTAAATATTGTATTAGTGACATTAATTTTATATTAAAAATTTTACAGTTAATTAAATGATGCTTGACCAATAAATTTCTTTTTATTTAATAAAACATTTGTTAATCTTATTGGGAGAAATCTATTGATAAATATAGAAGAGGGGAAAGACGAGAATAAATGAACAACAATTGAGACACAAACGTCTTCTTATCAAAACAGAAACAATTTCTTCTTACCATGCTTAATTTTAAAAACTGCTCTCCACGTAAATCTTTAACAGATTTGGTTAAATACTTCATACTATAGCATGGATGGTTTTCATCTATTTCCTAGAATAAATAACAAGAAAATAAATGAATTACAAAATAAAAAACAAAAACTTTTTTTTCTAGATATTAAAATTGCTCATACTTTGATTCCTTTCTGAGTGGGCCTCACAGTTATTTTCGATCTTTCGAAAAAAATTTGTCTCACGCATTTTCGAACTGCTGGTTCTCTTGCTATTTGAGTAGCCACCATAAATTTTGCAACAGTCAAACACTCGTCGGCAGTGGGGAAACGCTTGCAAACATAATCTGATGCTACTTCTTTAGGTTCAACAGGATACTGATCAACCTCATGCCTTTGATAATTGTCACGTAAGTTTTCCCCAAACTGCTCAGGTGTCAGACCAAATTTCTTAGCAAGACCATCGATTCCAGAAAGTTTGCACACAGTATAAGCATCAGTGTGAGGAACATGCTTGATTTTCGTATCTTCCTCTAATTCTTCGCCATTTTCCATTTCTTTTTGCTGCTTCTTTCTCATGTGTTCTTTCATGGCTGGTATGTCATGACCATAATACAGCATGAAGTGAGAATAACAATCCTGGATTTCCTCCATGCTTTGTGCCTTTTTCAATCTAAACGAAAAAATAAAATTTTGCACTCGAGGGAGATTTACTTTCAAACTAAATAGCTACACCACAGAGAAATACATAAAGAGATTCTACTCAAATATTACAGCATATAAAAAGGCAAGAGAGATTTTTTTTTAATGGGCAGTAAAATGGCAACACTGGCTCAAATGGTTTTAGTGCTACAATACAGCAAAAAGCTTAACTACTGCAATGTTCTCCATAAGCGTTTTTAGAGGGGTGACTCGCTTTATCTGCCCTTTGGTCCCTATAAATGCACCTTCTTTACTCTTTTTGAAAAAATAAACCACCATCCATAAAAAATACTACCTTTTTACTCATATTCAATTTAAATAACACTGTTTTAAATAATAATTACACACTAGTAAAATTACCTTTGTTTATAGGTTTATTTCTAATTACTATTACAATTTTTTTTTTTTAAGGATTATACTCAACTGGTTTAATATTTATAAATTTCCTTTTTTTTTAGGAAATATATTAATAAATTTTTAAAGTGATTTTAAATTCTAAAATTATTTTTTACATAAATATTTTTTTTAAAAAAATGCAATTTTATTTCTTCAATTCATTTCTGCATAAATTTTAGTTTAAATTTTAGAAAAAAGCTTTCAAATAACTAGGCTTCATTAAAAAAAAAAAAAAAGCAGGTTTATCAATCAAAATTTTTTTTACTCTTTTTTAAAAAACAAATTTATGCTCATAGATTGTCTTTTAGCGTGTCTTTAACTATTTTTTAAAAACTCTAAATTTTTCTCTTGTTTTGATAATGTGTGAGAACTACTTTTTGAAATGCACACATATAATAATATAAGAGGGTAATTTAAAAACTGTTAAGGATCAAATTCAATTCTTACATAATTATAGATAAATTTTTACGGTGTTAAGTGAGTGCTCTTTTTTATTTCTAGGGAGAAATCTGCTAATAGTTATAATAATGAATTTATTTTTTTCAGAATTTTTAATTAAATTTATGAGTTTTTTGTAATCTTTTATTTTTGTTCCATGACATATTTAGAATATAATTTGGTAAGAATGCTGTATGTTAATGAAGACAAAAATACATTTAGCAATGTAAATTACAATTTATTTTAAATAATTCAATTTCTAATCATGCTTTCTGTTTTTCATTCTATCTCAGTGTTGAATAAAATACTTTTCCATTTTAATGCTATTTACCATTACTCCTTTTAAAGTAAAGAATAAATTGCAAAAACACTATTGAGGAAGATTTTTTTCATTTTCTCTGCTTTTAGTAGAGTTTATTGTATGACAGGATGAAAAATAAGAGTAAATATAAGTAAGACAGAAACACTTTTCACTCATAGGAGAACTAAGATATAAGATTGGAATTAATCTGAAAATTTTACGCTTCTACATAAATAGACAGTATAAAAAAATTTCAAAACACATTAATTCACGCAATCCTATAATTTTCAATATATTCAATAATTTTTACTGAAATGAAGCAAGAAAAAATGAAGCTTTAAAACTAATGCCACTCAGAGATGTATTTCATTCTTTCATATAATTATCAGATAAAAAAAATTTTTTACATAATTTTACAATTAATTTAATTTTTAGTTTACATAATTTGAATAAAAACAAGTTTATTAATCAAATTAAAAGTTTTTTTTTTTCAAATTACTTTGAATTAACTGCTGGTAATGAAAAAAAAAATTTTTTTTTTCAGAGCAAAAATTAAAACATGGATTGACAATCTTTAGATATGATTTTATGACAATTGTAGACATGATAATATGATTTTTTTGAAATCAATTTCTACATTGTCAAATGTAAATGCCTTCTTAAAGGAATATTAGTGACCTATTAGTGAACTTACATTGCCGCACACAAGGTATTGCAAATACTTTTACTTATAATTAACATTTTTCAGTTATTCTGTAAATAAAATAAATTGTAATATATTATAATGATAACAAAATAAGTTGTATGGTTCTGAATAATTTGTACCCATGATTATAATTTATTACTATTCCAGACCATTTATTTTTATAGTCCAAGAGCTTATTTTTCAATTCATTAAAAAAATTTATGATAAGCTTACCTATTATATTACAGGGATGAGAGTAGACAGAAAGCAAAAAAGAAAAAAATCTAACCAAAAATAAAACACGATATATCTAAAAATTGAACTAAAAACGAGTGATCCATCAATTTCAAAAAAGAAAAAATTTAAAATCCTATCTGCAAATGTACAGAAAAATATATGAATTATCAATGAAAGATACAGGACATTTAATACTTATTAAAAATATTTTTTTAAACCTTAAATTTTAATACACATGATTGCTATTTTTTGTTTATAGTCAATATAATTTTCCCAAACAAATTCATGGATTATTACAAAAAAGTTTTTAAAAAAATACTTTAATTTTTAATATTAACGCTAAAAGGCAAAACCAGTATTAAGTTATGCTTCTTTACTTTTTAAATAATTATGAATAATCATATTTCCTATTTAATGATTTAAAAAAAAAAAAATTTTTTTTTACTGATCAGAGCATTAAAACAATAGAAAAATGATATTTCATGTGATATAAACCACAAACCTTATAATATCAGTGACTTCAAGTGCTCGAATTCCCTCTTCAAGAGGTTTGTCTGGATCAGCCATAATGGTATCACATTGATACTGTTGCATTTTTTCAAACAATTTACTCAAATTATTCTTCCTTGTTCTTAATTGATACCACTGAAAAAATAAATAAATAAATAATTTCAATTAACAGACAGTTAAAAATAAAAATGTTAATGGATTTTTTAAAGATATACCTTTTCATCCCATTTATATACAGTCCATAAATCATTAATATTTAAATCTGGCTCTACATATTCTTTTCTATAAAATGCAATAAAAGGAACCTATAAAGAAAGAAAAAACATTATAGGTCTCACATAATAATTTAAAGTATTTGAAGAAAAATAAATGGATTACAACAACCTCAAACTTATTGTTACGGATAAATTTTAAAGCTTCTCTTATCTTTCCCACAGCGCTGGGATTTTTACGGCCGGCAATAGGTTGGTGACCAGTTCCAGCATGCTCCCCCTCTTGAAGTGATATGGTAGGAATGCTGAAGGCTTGCTTATAGATCCATTCGGCTTCCTCCTCGATTTCATCATCTTCAGCTTCCGTTACAGGTACTGCTCGCAACTAAGTGATAGAAAGTTGAATTAAGAGAAAACACTTTTACATAGATTTCATTGTTGTTTGTATACAGTAAGAACTTCCCACGCCACAAAGTCTGAGGCCATCTGCTGCTGTGGAAACAAGAATAACGCATTTCAGGGCCCATAACTTCTCTTCACTCTAGGGTTAACAAAATAGGCGGAAGGAATCGATTTCTTTTCTCTCGCCGACCGGAGCCATAATCTGTCCTTAACGATTCCTTGAAATAGTTGCTACCATAGTCACCGCCATACCTTGTTACCATAGTCACCGCCACAGGTCCAGACGAATGGCTAGGGAAGTTCCTACTTTAGACAAACTATAGAAATAGCCTGGAAAATACCTGGAATCTTTCTGGTATATCAACAGCTTTAATCTCTTTGTCAAGATCTGTCATATGACTTCTCTCCAGTTCCACTGGTTCAAATATCTAAATTAATAAAAATTCTATTTACTTTTTATTTAACTTAGCATGATTTTAAAATCACTTAAAATTTCATTTATAATAATAAAAGAATATTTAAAAAAAAGAATTCATTAAATCATATTTAATATTTATGATGAGATAATAGGCTTTAACCTTCATATATATTCAATCAAACCTAGTTAAGACGAAGAAAACATTTACCAAAGTTCTTTTCGAATTTACTGAAAATTGGGATGATTTAGGAAGATTTTAAAAAATAAATCACTTAAAACAGAGATATCAACGAACTTAAAAGAGAAATATTTTACGTTAATTTTATTTTAACCAATGTTTTTATGCAAAAAGGTAAAATTGTCTCAAATCGAATACCAATAGTGACAAGAAGTAAAAATTCAAATTTGAACTTCATAATAAAATAGTATTTAAAATATCATAATTTGAACTTTGGGAAAAGAACAGAAAAAAATTATAAATAACTGCTGAAAATATATTATATAGAAACATGAATATATGATGGAATTGTCACGAATTAAATGCCTAAAAAAATTATTAATCAAATTCGAAATTCGCTTTTCTTAATAACATCGAATAAAAAATAAGCACCATGAATTGAACCCTTCAAAAGTGATAGCCTAAATTATCTTGTTGTGATAATTTATCTGGCCCAATTCATCCTGTTGTGGAATTTCAAAAATCGTAGGGAAAGAATGATCAATGATTAATGATCAATCAAAGATCAAAGAATGATTAATGATCAATTACAAGTGAAAAAGCATTCGGATAATTTAGGACCACTGGGAAGAAATCTGGAGGAAAACTTGTTTGCGTCATTCCCAGTGAAATGTCGCTAAATTGATTCAAACATTTGGAGATTGCTTGTAGGTTTAAAACTTTTACTTGTTATACTAAAATTTTTAAAATATTCCTGATATTTCCAGAATCAATTAATTCCCTAATATGAGTTCTCAGTTTTACTGATTTTCTTTATCGCTTTACACCAAAAAATAAATAAATAAAAAATAATATTGTTAATATAAGTTTAAAATACTTAACTAATTATCTTCCAAACTCGATGACTAAAAAATTCATGTTTCCTTAAAAATAAAAAAAGATCAAAATTTAAATAAAATTCTTACATCATATATAGTTTTTTTGGTAGTCTGTTTGCGAGCTGTTTTCTTCTGCTTGGGTCGAGTCTCTCCGTCTTCGTCCTCTTCCTCCTCTTCATACTAAAATTAAAATATTAGCTTTAAAATGAATTCTCTAAAAGTACACTTTTAAATATTTCTTTTATTCAGACTTAGTATAAATAAAATTTAGCTACAGATTTATTACAGAAAGCCTGAGCATTTATTTGACTTAATAAAAAAGAAGTCAGCTATTAAAATTGCATATAACAACCTAACACAACTTATTATTGTTATATACATTACTTTATAAAATGGCAAAAAAAGAATTTGGGGAAAAAATCTTTGATATCATTGAAGAGAAAATTATTAGTATTAATCTTTGAAGAGAAATTAATTAGTATTAGTTGAATACAGGATATACAAGTTTTGACAATTAACGATTTTATCCAGTTTTACCCATGGTATTTAACCATAATTCCATAAACCCATTTTTGGCATAGTTTTTTACCAATGGTCAAAAACCAAAAATTTGGTGTAAGGATAATTATTAGCTACTATAAATATGAAGTATTTTTAAATAACATGCATATAAAATTGCAAGTGATCAATCATGTTCTTGAATTATTTTGAAATTAAATTCTTTTTGCTTTGACAATTATTTTCAAAAAAACCCAAATTTTGTTGTAGAAAATAAAAAATAATTATAAATAAAAATGTGTCAAATTGCAATTTACCCAATCCCTTAATTTGTTTAATTATTGAAAATAAAAATACGAACATAATTATCTTATAAAAAACACTTAACAATCATTTTATTCATTAAATGTAAAATGAATTTTCATTTACTCCTATTTTAACTCCACCCTTTCCCGAAGCATCTGATAAGGAAAAAAAAAGAAGCTTTGAAGCTCTCTGTACTCCAAGTTTATCTTGCAGTTCTGTATAAATAAGATCAAAATTCGAAACTATTCTTACAATTGATGCTCAACTGCATAGACTAGAAGGTAGACATACTACAACAATAATATACTAAAATATGTAATTATGAAATTTATTCCAATAACTGTACTAAATATTAAAATGATTGGTTGAAAAAATTATTAACTCATTTAAACAAACATTTATTTTTTTTGTAAATTATAATTAGTTTACTTATAAGGGAATATATTATATTTATGATTTTTTTTTGGAAATATTCATGCAAGTATAAGCAGGAGTGCAGAAAATTCTCAAAGTCTAATATTTCCTTAGAACAAAGTTTCTATTTTTCTTTTTTTTTTTTGTATTGAAATTTGACTTAAAATTTTAGCACTTTTCTTTCTCTTCCTTTTTTTTTTAAAAAAAAAAAAGTACAATAACTTTTTAAAAATATTTTTGGAAAGTGAAGTTTATATAAGAAAAAAATTCATTTGAATTTTCATAATTTTTTAATTAACCATCAGATGTGCTAAGAATATGTTACAAAAATCAAAATATATTGAAATAGTAACAATTTATTATATTAAATTTAGGATCCTATGCCGAAATTTAAATTCTGACTAACAAGTACACAAATTGATATACAATGTTTTTTAACAAGGAAAAGTTCTACAAAGCTATAAGAAAAATTTTTTAGACAGAAATTTTTCCTATTGCTGCCTGAATTTCTCTCAAAACCTCGCTCGCATAATCAGACACATTGTGCAGCACTGCACACAACAAATATTAAGAATCGAAAAAGAGAAAAAAAAATTATGAGTTGAGAACAGACAATTATTGACGATAATTTCAGTTTGATTTAATCTATAAAACCTGCTAAGATTGTGGCATAAAAGAATTAAAACCAATATTTAGAATGATAATAAACATCTCATAATTATTACCTACTTGTAATATAAACTGCACAGATATAATATAGTAAAGTATATTTGTCTTAAAGTATTAAGATTAATGTGTGTTTAGAAAAATCAATTTATAGTAAATTATAATTTTGGCTACATATTTTATAAATAATATATAATATTAATTATAATTCTAGTAGTATATAATGCAAGTTTTGTGCTTAATTTAATGTTGAATAAAATATCCCAATGACAAAAAAGAAACTTTATCCAATTTTTTAACAGTTTTTGATATTGTCTGACAGATATTTGATGTGTCATATCAAAAACAAGTTTTAGACGTCAAAATCCCAACTTTGGCTGAATGGCTTAAAAAAGCTTTTGAATAGTTGTACAATAGAAGATGTATAAAATGCAATTCTATAATTAAAAATTCTCCATAAACCACATTGACTTAGGAGGATTAAACAATGAAAATTGCAAATAAGAAATTTCTGTATCTCATCAAAATTTTTTTACATTATTAGTTTAATTATTTGCTAACAGGTTACAATTCCAAAAGCTAAGCTTTTTTGTTTATTTGTTATTAGTTATAATGCCCTAAGAAACTTGAAGTTTGTTCTGTTAATGATATATATCTAAGTGCCTATATGTGCTTCTAAGTAATTCGTTTTTAAAAATTAATTTAAAGTATTTTAAGACTGATCTGCTCCTGATTAATATTAGTGATGTTTAGTAGTTAAGTTTTAAGATATGTAAAATATTCTGAATATCAAACTCTAACAAAATACTCACCTTGCATTTCAAAGTTTGCGTTATAAAGAACTTGCTTAATAAAATGACATAAAATATATAAACATAATAAAATGACTTAAAACAATAAATTTTCATTTGTAAGAGTAAGTGTGCAGAGTACAATAAACAAAATAAATATGGATGAAAATTCTTACATCTTCATCATCCTCATCATATTCATCTCCTTCCTGAGCAAAATCGGCATAATCAAAATCAACACCAAAAATTTCTTGCGCTTCTTGTAAGGCCCTAGAAAGTAAAGTAATAGTTTAACTACATTTTTGCAGAATTCAGTTTAACTGAATTAAAAATTCAGTTAAAAAAAAATCGCTGAAGGATTTTTTTAAACACAGTGAATTAATTGATATTTTGCAGCAAACAAATTATATAAACAAGTTCTAGAACTTAAGGAAATTGATTGCACAAAAGAACTCTTTTCCCAGTAAAAAAGCAACTCAGCAAGATATTTTTACTAAAACTTTTTATTAATATACTTACGCATCATTATATTTAATGTGCCTTTTTTTCTTCCCCTTTGAAATTGGCTGCCCATCATCATCAACAATAAAATCTGACTCATCTACAAATAATATTAATAACGTTTCAAAAATCAGTAATGAAAAACATTACAAAACAATATATAAATAAAACAAAATAGGTTCTAAGAATACCAATAATACTTGATACTAATAATACTTGAATATCGTTAATTATATTTTTAAAAAAACCTTGTGAATGTGAATCTCTTTCAAACCCTTTTTTTGTCTTTCAAACTTAAATTTTCTTGCCAAAAAACCTCAATCAAAGGTGTAAAAATGACTAGTCCTACTATATATGAAATCTTCAGTAAATGAAATTATAACTATATAAAAAACACAAATTAAAAAGAAATCAGTCTGAAAGAGATCTGTTGCACAGAAGCTTTGAAGTATTTTTCAATTAACTATTAATAAATAAGCCTTTCATAGCTATCACAAAACATCAAATGAAAAAAACTTGCTTTTTTATTTTACCATTTTTTATTGCCTCAACTTAGTTGCTTAGCAATGGAGATTAACTGGGTATGATTTTTCCTCTCAATCACATAGTTAGTCTTCAGTTATCTTAACTTACTCTACATAAGGTGACAATATTGTTTGGTCCTTTTTTGGGACTATTGCCAAATATAAATAACTTCATAGCTTCCCAATTTAAAGTCTAACTTTTTCAAAATTTCGGCTACCCTCATATTTTGAAGGTAAGGAATCAACGTAAGTAAAGAAAAAAAGTTTACTCAGAGAAAGTAGGTTTTTGTGTCTGATTTTTTAACTCAATATTTAGTTACCACTAATTAATTAGCATATTTTATGTAACCCCTTGGTCAACTTTTTTTTAGCACTGTGCACTATACAAAGATGAAGCTTGAACAGTCTAATTAACTTGTGTATAAGAATATTTTTAGCGCCTACCCTACAGCCCCAGCAGCAAAATAACATGCGCGCATTACCAAGCTTATATCCTTTTTAGGGTTCTATGTTTTTAATGGCCATATTAAGAATACCACATAATTTTGACCATGGTCAGACAACATGGACATTGCTTGAGATGGTGCTCCCCTTTCTCGAAATTTCCACACCACAACCAACAAGAGGACATCCAACCACAACAAAGTTAATTTGCACCTTACTCAGCATACACGCCAGTTGTTTTGTCTGCAGTCACAATCAAACTCACTATCTCCAGTTCTCTAACCAGCGGCGTGTGTGATGCCTTAACCGAGCTTGCAACTGGAGCACCGACTTTTCACAGCGATACCCCAAACACTATTATATAGTTTGTTTTAGCATAAATATTAAGTTTGTTTTTATAAAAACTTTTTGGCCTTTTTTAAATGAAAGTAAACCCACAAGTAGATTTTGATCACAATCCACGTCATTTGTTTTTATTCTTTATTTTTCAAGATTTGTCTTTTTTATTTCAGAAATTAGTTTAAACTCCGATACATTTTCTTGTTCATTAAAATAATAAATAAAAGAAAGAAATACTATATAAATGAGTAAATAAAAGAAATATAAATATTATACCAGATTCTTCGCCTGATTCTTCTAAATTACCAAGTGTATCTTCTGCAACTCTGGGCTCATCCTCTTCTCCCTCCTAAAAATTTTAAAACATAATAAACTAAAATTCAAAAATTAAAGTTTATATTTATAATCTTAAGTTAAGGGCTCGGCTCCCCGCTTACCAGCTCCAATAATTGCTATGCAATTATTTTTTGTTTGCTTTGCAAATAAATTTAAAACTGATTTCAATTAAATTTATCCGAGCAAAATATTACACAATGAAAATTCTGCTTAAATAGGAAAAATGTAAGATACATATTTAAAAAATCTAACAAAGACAAGTATTTAAGAACTTAGCATGATGTGTGAATTATACCAAATATTTCCATTAATATTTCTTCTAAAATTGGAAAATAGCAAGTAAGTAATATACATATTTACAAAATTAAAAACCTAATAATAAGATAATTCAAAGAATACATTAAGTAGTATCTAAAAATATACAAGATGAATGAACTTTAACAAATGTTTAAGTTACAAAATTTCTTAATAGACATTTTTTATTGCCTCTTTTTTAGAATCATTGCGCGTAACTATTATCTTAACTGTCTAACCCTATTTTGCATGGCATCCGGATAGAGCTACACATAACTGCCCATGACCAAAAACGGAGCTATTCTGATTGATGAAAAGACCAACTGTACTAAAAGTTTGACCTAGGGATTCATTATTAGTCATGACAAATGCCAAGCAAACAGGAAATTGTGTTCGATGAAGAACAACTCTCTGCAGACCATAGTGCTTAAGGTTATTCTTAGGATGCACACAATATCACCAGTCATGATGGTAGAAAATAAAACTGATGTAGTAAAAATTTTTTACAATCAATCTCTTGCCATCACAATTGAACCTTCTTTGAGGCACAATTTATGCAGTGGTAGTCCAGTTACACTTATTTTTGAAAGATACTCTGGTTGAAATCTCAAGAGGATCCCCCATACTGAGGGAAAAACTATTTGTCACAAATTCTGTTTCACCTCCATAACTAATTTAAAATAAAGAAAAATGAGTTCAGACAAACTTAAAGCAAGCCATGAAGTTTTAAATACTGAAAAAAAAATTTAAAATATCAAAATAAAAATAAATTACGAGCAGATAACTTAGGATTTCGGAATGGAAAAGTTTTCTTCCAATAATTTGTTAGCATTTTGATATTTGGAATTATTTTTTAAAAAATTATTTTTCCCTCGGCAATTGAAACTTTGTGACTTATTCTAGACTTGCCTGAACTAAATTTTTCTTTATAAAATTTTTAAAAAAAATCAAGTCATGGAGGGGAAAGGGAATTTGCGACGAAAAGTTTCTCCCGTGGTATGGCGTCCTAAATTGTATCATCATCAATGTCATCCCCATCCAAAGATGCTGCTTTGTCATAAGAGTAACATACAACTATGTCACCTGGCAATCTGTTCAGAACAGAGATATTCAAATGATTTACCTAATCATTAATCACCTTCTCTAACTGAATCAGCATTAACTTGAGAACCAAAGGTTTCAGTGAGCAAGTCCTCCACACAGCATTTTAGAGACATTCACACAATCCAGCTTACCACTCCCAATAGACAATAACCAACATACAAATGTGTGCTGTTACTTGCATGTTCCGTGTGAGATGGAAATGATTAACAATCGACTACAATCCCAGAGATTTTACAGTACCACACTTGATCTTTTCCAACTTGATTAACAATAAGTACAACTTGCCTAAAATAAAATACATTTTCCACCAAATGGAAGATCAGATTTCAACAAATCTCGGAGAGTGATATCTATCAGGCTTAAAGCAATAACAGTAATCATGGAAGCTTCATCCCAAATTACGTAATGAGTTTTGACTAAATTCTTATTTGTATTGTGATCTAAATATAGAGGAATCAGTTGTTCTTCGCAGCTGGAATTTTTATGGGTAGTCTGAAAACCGTGTGGGCAGTTCGACCATTTGGTAATAGTGTAGCTGCCATTTCTGTTAAGCAACACACAATATGTTCTAAGGATTAAGGAAATATTTATAAGGAAGTATTAATAGTTTCAATCACAATAGTGTTTAAAAATGAGAGCTTAAACTTTTCTAAATTTAGAATAATTAAAAAATTTGTGGAAATCTTCTAAAATCTCAAATTTACATAGCAAATAAGTAAAACAATAATAAAACAAATAACATACCCCATCATCTGCATCAAAGAGTTCATTAGCGATGGCTTCTCTATCTTCACCTTCTTCTGCTTCTTCATTATCACTTTCTTCATCCTCAATTCTTCGTAATCGTTTAAACTTTTTTTTCTAATGTACAATAAAAGTAATACATTAGTTTCCAGAATACATTTCTTTATATAAATGCCATATAAACCTACACGCACACATATATAGATCACAATAAAGACAATAAAGGAGAAAAAGAAAAGGAAAAAAAACGAAGAAAATTAATAAGTTTCATTTACTGTGCATAAGCTACAAGCATATAGAACTCATAAAATAAGTTAAAAATACAGAGAAAATATGGAAAATATTAAAGATTAATGAAAAGAGAAGAAAAATTACCAAAAAAATAATAATAATAATAATTAAAAAAAAATATGAATATAAAGGACATTAAAAAAATTGTGAAGAATTACAAACTTTAAAAAAATTACATGTTTATAGATGCAACATCTACATTGCATGTTTCAAAAATGCAAATTGGCTATCTTAGAGAACAGGGTGCGTAGTCAAATTTTTCAACAAAAAATAAGCACCTTTTATGTACTTTTTAAGCACTCAAAAAATATTTTTAAGCACTATATACGCTAACAAAATCTTTTAAAAATTGGCATTTTTTGAAAGAAAATAAAACATTTCTAATAACAATATATTGAGTTAATTATAAAAGAACTCAAGCGTGATAAATAGATTATTCTCAGTCTTTAATTTTATATTTAACCCCTTGAGCATTATATAAATTGTTTTCTTTTTATTAAATAATGTTCCACTATTACCATAACTTTATAGCATTTTTAGTACCATATAGGAGGAACTTGCTTAAAAAGTTAAATAGTATAGAAAACTTTTATCACTGTTTAAATTTTTTAATATTTTAATAGTTTCACAGTTTTAATAGTTTTTAATAGTTATTTTAATAGTTTTTAATACAGTAGAGAACCGATTATCCGGAACGATCGGGACTATCGCTATTCCGGATAACTGATTTTTCCGGTTTTCTGAATCCCAACAAAAAGTCGTTTTTTTTATTGTTAAACCCAACTAAAAAAATAAAAATTTGAAAATAATCTTAAAAATAAGAAAAAACGATGAAGTAATACACTAATGAATATTTCCAAAATGATGGTAAGGTAAGCATCTTTAAAAAAAAGAAAGAAAAATCGTAAAATCTTATGAGGAAAAAAAACTTTTTTTTTAAAAAATGGCGAGAAAATTTATCGAATTTCGTTTCGGTTTTTTGGTTTTCTGATTTCCGGATAGCGGGTTCTGTACTGTATTTTAATAGTTGAATAGTTAAATTTTTTAATATTTTACTATAAACTGTCGTTTTTAGTTATAAAATTAGATTGTAAAAAGAGAGAGAGAGACAGGTGAGAATTTTGCATAAGGTATAAGCATAAACTCTAATAAAAATGATAAGTATAGAAATAAACAAATATCTAATTAAGTTAGACAATATTATAAATTTTGAAGTTAACTATAAAATAAACTTACTCTTTGTACTTTAACCCCTAAATTTTCTTCAATTAAATCATAATCTTCATCTTCTAAAGCATCATCATAATCATCTATAATAAAATGATGAAAATGCTTATAAACAAATAAAATATTACTTTGCAATTGTTTTCCTTCACATTGAAATATTTTAGTGCAAAATAATGTCATTATGACAGATTGAAAAAAATATATTAATATAACTTACCATGATGTTTCTTTTTCTTTCTTACAATTTCTCCTTCATCGGAATCTTCCTTATCCTCTTCTTCATCATCATTAATTAGATCTTTCATCTCTTCCCTTAGCTTTTCTTCATCTAAATTTTTAATTAAAATATATGAAATACAAAGAAGAAAAATTAATCCCCACCAGAAACAATTTTTAATTACTAGTTTTTTGTCAAAAGGGTAAATAAATTATTTTCTATTATAACTTGAAATCGCTGTAAATACATAACTCAACAGATAATCCTAAGCGTTACCTAGCGGTAGGTGTATGAACTCTTTCAGTAATATTTATATCGAGCTAGAACAAAAATATTTTACTACTACAAACAATTAAATGACACACCAGATAATCAGAAACTTATTTATATTTGTTCATAAGAGAAATTAAGTCTCACAAACACATTTTCAAAAGCAAAAAGATGTCAAAATCCATGTCAACAGTAATAGTAAAAAAATTAATGTAACAATATCTTATGTGAGAAAATTATCTATAAGTGTATATAACATATTAATTACATGAAATTAAACAGCAGTCAATCATTTAACAATAAAAACTCAAAAATTAAGCAAAAGTTTAAGTATTTATGTATTTTCAGGATAAAAATGCATTTATAATATAATATTATACTGTCAAACTGGTTTCACTTAAAAACATTCACTAAACCCACTGAGCCACTTCCTCAGTATGAATCTAGTCTGTTAGTACAAATGGGATTTAAATCCATTTAATTTTAAAAGAAAAAAAAATGACAATTACCATTTATTCCTGCGTCATCCACATTAGAAAGCATAAAAAATTAGAAACAAACATCTAATAAATTGATAGCAGTTTAATACAATAAAATATTTTTGCAAATACAGTGCTTTTAATTGTAGAAATCAAATGAATAACATATTAAAAATCCTCAAAAAACTATAGAAACAACAAATGAATAAAATTGAAATCAATAACAAAGATTACGTTCTAAAAGTAATGTCGCTTAGTATTTTCCCCCAATTAAATAAAAGCATTTGAAAAAAAATAATTTATTTTTTAAGATTACAATAAATTTTTTAAATTGTTAAAATTTCAGTGGTAAAAAAATATATGATAAATGTGACAAAGGCAACTAAAATAATATCTACCAGAATTTTTTTTTTCTATTATATCATTTTAGCTGACAGTATTAATTAAACAGAGCAATAAGTTTTTAAAAACTACAGATAATTATACAAAGCTAACTGAATGAGAAATGAAATGTCTAACTGTCTTCTTCTTCATCGTCTTCTTGTATTCAAATTGTATTTTTTAAGATTACATTTAATTTTTTAAATTGTTAATATTTCAGAGATAAAAAAATTATAAATGTGACTAAGGCAACTAAAAAACATCCACCAGAAAATAATTTCTATCATAGCATTTTAGCTGAAAGTATTAATTAAACAGAACAATAAGTTCTTAAAAGATACATATAATTATTATACAACGCTAATTGAATGAGAAGTAAAATGTCATACCATCTTCTTCTATTCAAATTGTATTTACAATAAATTTTACAATAGATTACAATAAATTTTTTAAATTGTTTTCAGTGATAAAAAAATGATAAATGCGACTATGGCAACTGAAAAACATCTACCAGAAAATAATTTTCCATTACAGCATTTTAGCTGAAAGTATTAATTAAACAGAAAAATAAATTTTTAAAAACTACAGATAACAATTATGCAAAGCTAATTGAGTGAAAAGTAAAATGTCTAACCGTCTTCTTCTTCCTCTTCATCGTCCTCTTCTTCTTGAAATTTACGTTTCCTGTTGATGATGTCCTCATCTTCAGATTCTTCAGCTTCGCTTACTACGAAATCAGCCATTTTTCAGATCTGTGAAACAAGAAAAATATTAAAATAAATAACTTCGAAATCGACAATTATGTCTAAAAAAGTAGGAATTTGCCTGGCAAAAATAATGCAAAAAATCTGAGGATAATACATATCTAAATCAAAGAACAGATATAAACTAAAAATAATTTATATACTTATTATTCTATTTCAAGAAATGATATGCATTGTCCCAATAGCTGAAATCATGGAGTAAAGCACTGAAGATAATCATAGCACCTGTTGAGTTTAAAAAAAAAAAAAATCTGGGACAAAAATAGGATGATTAAGATCAAATTAAAAAAAAAAGAATTTTTTCTCCTCTCTTATTCCTCCTTTTGAACCAAAAATGAGACACACTAATCTTAGTCTAACCCACAGATGATTACCACTGGCAAACCATATTTTCTTCGAAGGGAAAATTAAGCAAACATGTGTTTAAATTTACACATAAAAAGTCCATCCACAATTTACTTTTAGTTAATGCTCTACCTATACTTTTATCTGTTCTTGTAACATTAAACATTGCATTCAAGTAATTCACTTAATACTATTGTAATTATTAACTTTTTTTTCTTCCTTTAGTGATTGGAAGATAATTTTTTTTAATAGTTACAACAAATCAATATAGCATCTAATACAAAAATAATAATTTTTGAGCGAAATTTCAACGTGCTTTATCTATTTAAATTTTGAAGTGCAAATGTTAAATTAAGCCTAAATTTTAAAATAATACAGTGGCGTACAGAGATTTAGGAGGGCCACCTGAAAGATTTATAAATGTGTCCTAGTCCTATTTTGGACTTATAACTTAATTTCTGAAAAATCATAATATGAAATAAAAACACTATGAAAATACATTCCGGTATTTATAATCATTCATTTTATTTTAATTTATAAACTTTAATGGATCTTTTTTAATTTAGATGAATAAGGAATCACTATTTGCGATGGAAAGGCGGAATTTATAAGCAGTACTAAAGTGGAACATTAGATACATTTTTAACAATTACCACATTTAAATGAGTTTCATCTAAATAATACGAGAAAATAACTCACTCTGATTATAATTATATTCAAAGTTTAGAAAAAGGTTATTATTGCTTGTAAAGTGAATTAAAAAAATTATCTTGCAAAAGAACAAAAATATTTTCATTGTAATTGATATAATATGGGTGTACAACCCCTTTTAGAATGAAGGGCCACATGCTCAAGTACCTAGATATGTTGATGGACAATATTTGCATTGATGGACGTTAAATTTTAACATAAATATCAGCATTTCAGATACAATTCTTTTTATCAATAAATTTTTTTTATCAATTATTCAATAACAATCTATCAATCAACATATTTGCAAGAAATTAATTTCTTTTAAATAATTATAATCCTTTTTTTATTGGTGTAATTCGTTTTCATTTTCAAAAATTTATTCAAAACTGAAAAATACCAAACTGATATATTTCTAAAAATTATATTCTCTTCTTATCAAAAAGCAGTTTTGCTGAAATCAAATAAAAATATGTCATTTGTTATAAATATGTCATATCATATTATATAAATATGTCATATTAAAAAAATATCACTTAATCCTCATAATGAGGAAAAAATGATGGTTTTTTATCACATCACGTAGTAACACAAAAGATTATTTTAAAATAAATTAACTCTAATGTAAAAATTAAAAAATAGATAAAGATTTTATTAAGCATCACCCATGTAAATTAAATACTTGAATTAAAGAGATTGTATACTGCTACTAGTTATTTCCACATTTTTTTTAAATGATTGAAAATAAAACAAAAGCATTATAGCTTTAAAAATGATTCAACATTCAATTAGGATTCAGTTTATATTAAGATTTAGGGCATTTATATTTAGAGAATTAAAAGAAATTTTAAGAATATCAAATCTTAAAACAGCTTAAACTTTTTTTTAAGCTACAAAAAATTAGAAACAAAGTTCAAAAACAGTTAACAGCTTAAGAAACCCACATTGAATTGCAAGCATTATAATAATATTGTAAAAATAAAGAGATTTTAAAAAAATAATGGAAATAACTACTAGCAACTAAAATAAGAAAAAACATTGAAAATAACTTAGATTGACAATTAAATCAGAGCAAATAAAGCAAATTAGAAGGGCTGAATAAAAGCCCTGATTCGAAAATCTCAGGCTGTTATAACACTGGTCTAAAATTATAAAAATTTTCGAAACTACATGGACAAGTGTAACAATAACTGCTGAGAAAACAATAAACAACCTTAAGATTTGTGATGAGATCGGATTTACTTAAAAATTGATGACACTTGAACTAAGCAATATTGACATAGTTGATTTTTATAGTTATACTTAGTGTCTAAGTATATAGTTTTTTTAACTTAAAAACTAATAAAAGTTGAAAAACCTAACTCGTGGGTGATCCTTTTCATCAACCGAAAAACTTATCACAATACTTAAAATTTCAAGAATTTGTTATTATTTAAACTTAAGTGGATGAGTTTCTTTGCTTCATTATTATATTTAAAAAAAAAAAACTTAAAAATAGGTAAGAAAAAGGTTCATTACTTCATTTACATTAATAATTATAATATTTCATTATACAGTAGGGAACCGATTATCCGGAACGATCGGGACCATCGCTATTCCGGATAACTGATTTTTCCGGTTTTCTGAATCGCTACAAAAAGCCGTTTTTTTATTGTTAAACACAACTAAAAAAAATTTTTTTTTGGAAATAATCTTAAAAAGAAGAAAAAACGATGGAGCAATACACTAATGATTATTTCCAAAATGATGGTAAGGTAAACATCTTTCAAAAAAGAACGAAAAATCCTAAAATTTCATAAGGAAAAAAATTTTTTTTTTTATAATGGTGGGAAAATTTATCGAATTTTGTTCCGGTTAGTTATTTGGTTTTCCGGTTTTCTGATTTCCGGATAACGGGTTCTGTACTGTAATATATATCAATAAGCACACTTGATACTTTTGCTTACTTTTTAGGTTAGGTAAGTAGATTAACAAAAATTATGCATCTTAATATAATTTCTCAACTTTTTTCATAGCAAACCTTTTACCAAATAGATATTGTGGCACAAGGTTATCAAACTATTGCTTGTTTTTCTTTATTTTACCTACATTTATGTCTTTTTTGTTAAATACTCAAAAAATTTAAGTGTGAAGAATTAAAAATCTAAAAACAATCAACTACAGTTTTTTATAAATTTTCGTTTGAGCGGAGCTAACAGAAAAGTACCAGCATTGACTAAATAAAATATTGTTTATTAATAACAGAATATAAATATTTTGTCTAAAAATCTAAATTCTTCATAATTTAATGAAGAATAAGATAAAACTTGCCATTTTATTTTAATATTATACCACAAATAAGATATGTTTTAAGATTTTCCATACTTTAAGTTTTGAACATCAAGTATATTTTAAAACAGTGGCAGTTTTCACAAGTAATAACTTACAAAGTAATACATCCAAAGCTCTAATCCTAACACTAATAGCATATTTCAACTTTAGACTTATTTGGAAGTTGTTAAAATCATTCATTGATAAGGTAGTTAATTATTTTCCAAAAAAGCCCTCAATGAAAGCAGAAAGAGAAATAATTTTTAACTGTTTACCAAAGTTGTATTTGAGTAGTTATTCACTGCTAGAGTTACACAAGAACTGATACCAAGAACATTTAATTCTATTAATTTAGAAAAAAACCTAAAAAGCTTATCTCCACAAGAAAAATGTGCTTCGAATCAAATTAAATTCCCATAAAAGAATTATAAACAAATTGGATTCAATACATAGCAGAATGAAGTGACTAACAGATTTTTACTTATTGGATAGGCTAACATATTTTTACTTATTGGATTTTTTAAAGATAATATAATGCTAAATACTTATTTATAATTACGCCTTTAATATAATTACATGGGAAGAATCCATTTTATTGAACTAGGAAATGAGACAACACGAGAAAATTAAACACAAAAGATGACATAAAATCAAGTGGAGAATAAAAATTAATACTGACAAGCAACAATCAAAAACAGATACTTACAAGCAATTTGAGTAAAACGCCAACACTTAAAACCTAGTTTTTCATAGTAACTTTAGAGTGGCAGTGAAGTTTTTATAATCAAAAGAAAGTAAAAGAGTAAATCAGGTGATAACTAATAAGGAATAATGTTTCTCAAGATGTAATAAGCAAATTTGCAATATCAACCATTAAATATTTTTTTATTTATATCCACATACGAAATATGATTTGAAGATCAACATAACATAGCCAGACTTCGTCAACTAGCCTTGCTTGATATTTATTGATATTAGCCTAAGATTCAAGGAAATGAAGATCGATTTTTGAAGATGGCAACGGAAAAAGGGTTACCATCTTCAATTGTTGCTGCCACTATTTTTACAATTGGCAATTGAAATGGTCTACAGTTGACGCAGAGCAGAACTGTCTACCAGTGGTACATGAAGGAGCGTTCAGACGATCAAAGTACTTTAAACACAGTATTCGTGCGAATTCAAATTGCATTATTAAAGAAAATAAAGCAAAAACTGGAAACGAGGAATGGTACGGAAACACAAAGGCGAAAAAAAGTAACACACTGCAGTTGAGAGTAAGATATATCAAATGAATAATCTCAGAATCCGTGATTTTAAAATTCATTCTAATTTTAAAATTATTGAATAAAGATTAAAAAATAAAATCTTAATTTATTATACATTCAAGTATTTTAATCAGCCATGTGCTTTTATAAAAAAAATAAGAAAAAGTGTTGTCCTTAAAATAAAGTATCTGTAAAAAATGCTCCTTGTATTTTTAATTGCCTATGTCTACATTGAAATAGAGATAATTGAGCCAATTATGGGTATTGGCGATCGAAATGGGCTGCAGGTGGCGTAGAGCAGAACTCTCTACGTATGGCAACACTTCACAAGCTTTCCCCATTAGCTTGTGGGAAGTCATAGAGGTTGTTGTTGTAGTTCATTTACGTCACATTAGTGCTGCCCAGTGGGTTATTGGCGACGGTCTGGGAAACATCCCTGAGGATGATCCGAAGACATGCCATCACAATTTTGATCCTCTTCAGAGGGGATGGCACCCCCGCTTCGGTAGCCCAACGACCTGCACGCGAAGTCGAGCACTTTACGGTAGCACAGTTTAAAGAGGACCAATACCGCACACCCTCGGTCCCTACGCAGACTGATCCAAGTGGGTCACCCACCCGCACACAGACCGCAGCCAGTGATGCTTGACTTCGGTGATTTGCTGGGAACCTCGTCTTAACGATCAGTCCACTGCGGGACCATAGAGGTAGGAAGTGCGTTAGTTTTTCTCTTTATTTTCATATAGATTAAAATCTTTGAAATTGGAAAACTATATGGAACTATAAACTACATTAAACATAGTTCTAATGAAAAATATCACGAAAATTTTAAAATATATTTTCATTAAATAAAATTAAAAAAAATATTAAGAAAAGGTGAAAAGAGGAGGAGAGGGAAGGGAGAAGAGTTAAAGGCATGAAACCGGTCTCTCCCCAGATGGCGTATTCGAGTGTTGCGATCACCAATCGGTAAGAGATTGCTGTTGACGTACATTCGTACAAGTTTCATGGAATGAGGTAGCTAGATCATAACTTTACTTTAACGGTTACAATCAAGTTCATCACAGACTTGGTTCATCGGCAATCAAAATGGGCTACAGCTGACGCAGAACAGAAATGGGCTATAGGTGGCGTAGAGTGGAACTCTCTACCTATGGCAACACTTCACATGCTTTCACCATTAGCGGGTGGAGAGTCATAGGAGAAGGATGTACGGTAGTTTCTGTCAGGATTTTCAAATGGATTAAAACTTTTAAGTTAGGAAACTATGGGGAACTGAAAACTATATTAAACACAGTTCTGAAACAAAATGCCATGGAAAATTTAAAAAAATATTTTCGAAAAATATTAAGAATCTAGAAAATATCGTAGTACATTCCTAAACAACTGAGAAGAGGAGAGGGAAAAGGGAAGCGTCAAGACATGGAACAGGTCTTCTCCCTAGATGGGGTATTCGAGTGTTTAATTCCCAAATTATTACTCAAAGACCATTCTCACTGTAAGCAAAATAGTGGCATACGTGAATTTAGAGATGCGAGGTTTATGCATGTAAATATATTTAACCAATCAGATTCGCATTCATTCCTTAAGGAAAAAGTTCCGCAGTGGACTGATCGTAAAGACACAATTCCTAGTAAAACACCGACATCAAACATCACTGACTATGACCAGTAAGAGGGAGGGTGACCACTTCGGTCAGCTTGCGTAGGAACTGAGGGTGCATGGTATCGGTCCAGGTTAAATAGTTCTACCGTAAAGTGCTCGACTTCACACGCAGGTCGTCGGGTTATCAAAGCAGGTTAGCCACTCTGCAGAGGATCAATATTGCAATGGCATGTCTTCGGATGATCGTAAGGGATGTTTTCAAGACATTCACCAAAAGCCAATTGCGCAGCTCTAGTACGACGTAAATAAGATACCCTTACGGAAAAATTGAGACATAAATAAGGTGTTTTTCAAACGTATAAATGAAGTTATTTAAGTACATCGTTAGGTTGAAAGGGTGCAAATGTAAACCTTAAAATTTACCTTAAATATACTTGCAGAGGTATACATCTATCAACCTGAAGTATTTAATCTTACATCTGTGGGGAAGTAGATTTTTACTACTTTAAGGTATTTCTTTTTCATCTTTAAGTTATTACTAAACAACCTCATGTATATATATTTTTATGCTTGTAGAGGTATCTTTTTATCAAAATGAGGTGCGTCATTTTACATGTCAAATTATTATAGAGTAACCTAAAGTGTATTTTTCGACTGTGTTGTATAGGTTGTTTTTTATGAACGTTTAGGTGTTCAATGTTCTGTTTTAGGTGAATTTCTTCAACCTCAAGTGTCCATTTATATAGTTGTTGAGTTGAGATCTTCATTTATCAACCTGAAGTTTTTGATTTAACGTTGAGTTTGAGTAACGTTAGTTTTGAGTTCGGTATTAATTGCTTCTTTTGTTAAGCAATAAAAGAAAGTATCAAATACATATTTTTCCTGCAATTTTAATAGATTCAATTAAATTATCTAAAAATGAGAAAAATCTAGATTCACAGTTGAAAAAAATTATTTGTGGGAACTCACATTTTCATAAGGTAGATGTCTAAGGTACTTGAATTTTTAAAGTTATGAAAATGCAAATTTAAATAATTAGTCAGCTGGCATTCAGAATACTTTTATTTAAAGCTAAAATTTCATTTTTTTATTTAAAGCCGAACAAAATTATTTTATATATTAATTTTGGCTCCCTGCTGATGTTGTTGTTGTTGTTGTTGTTGTTAATTTACGTCGCACTAGAGCTGCACAATGGGCTATTGGCGACGGTCTGGGAAACATCCCGGAAGATGATCCGAAGACATGCCATCACAATTTTGATCCTCTGCGGACCGTTTCGGTAGCCCGACGACCTGCGCTCGAAGTCGAGCACTTTACGGTAGCACAGTTTAAGGAGGACCAATACCGCACACCCTCGGTGCCTACGATGACTGATCCAAGTGGTCACTCACCCGTACACTGACCGCAGCCAGTGATGCTTGACTTCGGTGATCTGCTGGGAACCGTGTCTTAACGATCAGTCCACTGCGGGACGGCTCCCTGTTGAAACATCGAAGTAGTGGAAACTAAGAGTAAGAAATATGAATTAGTAAGAAAATCATATTTACAATAATAGCGGCAGGCTTTGAAATACTAGAATCATATTATCTTCAACAGAATTAATTAAACAAAACATTTTTTTTTCACGATTTAAATAAACTGGATGAAATTAATTTTCTTTTTCAGTTAAATGGCATTCCACTTGCGTCATTTCTGTTCAATCCTCGTAACTAAAAGAGTTTAATGTGACGGATACCGTCAAACAATAAAATGCTCTAAAAATAGTAATATAATTAACAACTTTTACAGAAATTCGAACACATGATTCCAATCGTATTAGGAAATTGAAACACTTTTTATTTTCCCATAATTGAGCCTACATCTTACATTATGGTACTAATAAGTTTCATAATTAGGTTTTCTTTCTTTTTTCTTACATATCTTTACGTAAACTCAATGAGACTAGTCGATATTTTCAAATTTTTTGTCAGATTCCATGAAACTAATAGTTTTTTAATCAATTTTTCACGCTGATTCTGAAGAGGGCTTCTGTTATTGTCAAACACATCAGAATTTCGCGAAATAAAATTTTAAAGTTAGGTACCAATTTTTATGCATTTTTTTACACCCAGTCGAATAAAACTAACCACATGCTGATCGGATTATGTATTTTAAAGTTGTGAGCAATTTTATGAAAGGAAAATGTTAAAGAAAAAATGATTTGAAATAATGCTTTTAAAAGAGGCTGAGTAAAATATTAATATTTCAGATGTAACTTATAATATCAAGCAGAAAAAAACTAATTGTTAGTTGCTACAATCATTTGTTTAAATATAAAAAATGCATATAACTTTCAAACAATAAATTCTTCTATTTGTAGCTGATTTTATTCGATTTAGCCTTAAAATTACATAAGAAATAATACTGACTTATTTCTAAACAATTTAAGGTTTCTGAAATTTTTGTTAATTTTTCAAGTAGTGAACCATAAGCAGCGGCAAAAAATTCTCATAACCTTGGAACAAATTAGGATATCAACATGAAATCAGACTTTATTTAACTCTACTTAGTATTCTAATAAGTAATAACAAGCTGCTTAGTAAATAATTAACATGTAAAGCATGTTTTACAGACTAACAAATTCAACTGAGATTTTGATAAAATAGGCTCATTTCTGAAAAGAATTAAGAATGCACTTTAAGATTAAAGATTTGAAAATTATTAAAATACAAAATTCGTTAGAAACCCATTGTAAGAAGAAGAAAAATATCAATAAAAGTTGCGATATAGCAATATTAGTTCTTATTTAAATTTGAAATATTCAAAAAAAAAAATCAGTTGAACTATAAACTTTGGAGTAAGAGGGAGGAAAATAGAAGGTAGCAGAATTCGCTAATATATA